CAATGCAGTAAAAGCATACCTGGACAGACAATGGAACACCATTAGTCATGGACTGGCCTCCCAGAGCCCCAGACATCAAAATTATTGAAGTAGCATTGGATCATTCTGACAGAAAACTGAATAAAAGTCAGCCACCATCTAAAAAAAGATCCTTGAATATCTTTCAAGAGTCTTGAAGAACTATTCTTGTAAACTACTTAAAGAAATTACAAGAAAGCTTAGCTAGGAGGGCTCAGTCTATGTTGAAGAATAGAATCATACTAAATATTTATTTTTATATAAACTCTGCTTTTGCTGTACATACTTTAATAATACTGTGGTAATTCAACAAACTGCTACACTTACTTCCTATATTCCTGTCAAAAAATGAGTTTGGCACAGTACTGTAGTTCAAGATGATGGACAGATGATAAAGAACAGGAAGACATTTAAACGTTTTCAATCTTGCATTAGGTGCCCGAAGCTTTTCAAAAAGGTTAACTCTTCAGGTGTTTACAGAGACAGCCGTGTTGCAAGCGGTATTGATTTCCTCTCTATCCCAAAACATCAAGTAAAATAAAAAAGGAAGATCATCTCGTGTGACAAAGCATAGCAGCCTGGAATTATCTCCCTTGAATGTGCAAGCACAATGCCACACAATTTCATGAATTAGTGAGATAGTTCAGTACATGGCATTCAAAAACTAAATTAAAAACTGGGATTAAGATCCCATATTTTAAGTAAAATGGTGGTGCACTGGTAAATCACAAAGTCAAAGCATTTGGAAATGAAAGCATGTGTTTCCTAATATATATGAAAATGACTAAGGAAAAAAAAGGAAAGTGAAGGAGAAGCAGGCTTGCACTTCTTCCACACTGCCCTTTCTGCTCATCTGTTCTCGGAGACACTTGTGGTAATAAATCAAAGCTGTGCAGACAGGCCATGGTGGAGAAGAATCTTGCTGTCCTTTTCCTTCCTTACCTATAACCTCTGACTTTGGTTTGACAAAACTATCAGAAATCTGACATTATCCACGAAACAGACAAGACTATGCTCGTTGTGGATCGGGTGATATTTTGCTAACAGGTTATACTCCAGCACGACAGAAATCCAGCTGTTATGAGAAAGTGGAAAGCACAATGGTAGACTAGTTTACTAGTAGTATCCTAACCAGTTAGGCTAACATTATGTGTCTCTAGCCCCTGAATTCAAACAACAAGGCCATTTCACACCAGCAACAAGAAATTCAGCACAGATGTTTTTCATCACAGATTTGTTTGCTTTAGTCACAAATGGCTAATGTCATGGAACGGAGACATGAGCTGTGTGTGAAATTCCACCCCTATTTAAAATGCACTGCACGGCTTGTTTTCTGACAATATCCACTATACTACTATAATGTTCTAAAAAAAATTCTACGATGCACTAAAAAGCTGAAATGTAAGTTTACTGCTCACTATTGATTGAAATATTGATTGTCCATTATATGAAGAGCAGCATGTGAATGAATAGGGGGTGATTTTCATCGCATTATATTGTTACTATGGGTGGTAATAAACTGCTTCAGAGACAGTTCAGAAATGAGATAGCTCATTTAAGAGTCATTTCCCATATGGGTGTCACGTGGGTTTCAACACCACCCTACACCCGTAGGATACCAGCAGGAGATTATGAGTTTACTCCTTCCAATGTGAGAAGTGAACTTGAGCACAGATTCTTCACAGTTCTTTCCAACTAAGCTTTTTTCTTTGCAAACGAAGTCCTGATAATTATTAGCAAGCACTAATATCTTCGTCAATTACATGTTTTGTTTTGTTTTTTTAAACACAAGCCAATACACTTTCATCCACTCTCACAACACTTTTGACCACGCCTATTTAGGGTTCAGGAAGTGTATACCATTTTCACACAATTTCACACCGGTTTGTACTGGTTGCAATTAGTCATGTTTGCTCCGTCATCTCTGACTGCTTGTACCAAGACATATGGGCTTGTTTTTGTTTTTTTCTTTTAAACTGGAGCACAGCCTCTCTTATCTCCACATCAAATCAACAGCAACATAAAAGAAGGCATTTTTTAAAAAAAATCATAGATATCACACTGTTCTTAATCATGTGAAGAAGATAAATAACAAGTGCTGGTTTCACAGAAGGATGTGTTGACTGTGGTGTTAGACTTTTACCGCTTTGACTTTTACACCGAGAGGTGTTGCTGGCGTTTCCTAAGAGTTTTAGAACAATATTGAAAGAGCGATGCTAAAAGAGAGTGTTGCTGGGTGAGTACATCAATCCAAAACACTCTGCAGTCTGTATAGTTCTGTATAATAGCTGGTGGGTATGTAAAAGGCGAATATATAAAAAAATGATAAGACATACACCTGTAAGGCAATGCGATGTAGTGTGGTAATAAATTGCTTCGTAACAATAAATGGTGTGTGTGGTGAGAATTCAACTTTTCTAGCTTCCTCTAGCACAGGGGTGGGGAACTCCAGGCCTCAAAGGCTGGTGTCCTGCAGGTTTTAGATCTCACCCTGGGTCAACACACCTGAATCAAATGATTAGTTCATTACCAGGCCTCTGGAGAACTTCAGGACATGTTGAGGGTGTAATTTAGCCATTTAAATCAGCTGTGTTGGATCAAGGACACGTCTAAAACCTGCAGGACACCGGCCCTCGAGAACTGGAGTTCCCCCACCCTTCCTCTAGCATAAGAAAATCACAATTCAGTATGTGAGATGAAACAGTGAGGCATGAAATAAATGCACTTCTGATAATAAAACCTCATTTCATTTTTTCTTAACAATTTAATCCCCAAAAGTTGATTCTGTTCATCTGGACGATGATTACATTCCTTTGGGGAAGTAAATCCCCAAAGGAATGATTGTTAACGTCTTGAGGATGCATCAAGACGTTAACAATTTAGTGTATTTTATGAATTCTATAACAACATTTCACAAACTCAACAGCCAATAATGCATTTGTCAAGAAGAAAGAGCTGTTGAGTGGACCAACAAGCAATATAGGGTATAAACTGGACACAGGGAAATCACAGGTGACATCTAGTATCAGCATTTAACCCAGTTCTGACAATTAAAAGGTTTAACAAATATAAAGGTGGTTCTACATTGCTGGCATGTGTACTTTCCTACCCACCTAGCAGCTTATCATGACACATCATGAATGCCAGACTGAAAGGTTTGACTAATTAAAGACAAACACAAGGCCTGACTGAACCATCCGATTGGTCTGTAAGCAAAAGAAAATACAATATTTTTTTTTTTTATCGGTATAGATTTCACAACTATGACTGTTTAATTAGCAACAGTATTGACAAGTGTATTTGTAAACTTCTCACAGCTATGACAAATACACCTTTTGAGTTAAGCACTTTTCTTAACATATTGTTTTTAATTTAACTTCTGCCTCTATGCTCAGTTGACCTTTTTTAAAAGCCTTGTTAAAATCAATGGTCTCGTTTTTTTTTAAAAAAATCCTTTTTCCACACTTTTTCTTTTTAATCTAATTTTTTCAAAACACAAAGCACACAAGTAATGCTTTCAATATGTATTACACATGAGGACCTATTAAAGCTCCTTTTCTTGCTCCACAGCATGTACTCATGCACTGAAAGGGTGAAGCAGCAAATTTGCTAGCTGGCTGACTGGGAGGACAGAGAGGCCTTTCTCACCAGTCAACGGCTGTCCTTAATGAGAATAGAAAGTGATTTACTAGCTTAATGCTCCAGCCCTCAGCCTGCCTGCCCGCCTTTGCTTTACACAGCCAGTTTAGTCGACACTCTTCATACAGAGAATGAAACTGAGACCAGGGAAACAGGGAAAAAAAGGAGGATAGCAAACTCCTGTCTGAAAACTGCAGTAATGAGATGTTCTCATGGATTCTCAGTCCCCGCATCACTGACTTCCTCCAAGCCCTGCATTTTTCTATCCGTCCTGCTTTTTGCTAAGTTCTCCATGATACTGTGCCATCTGAACAAATCGCAAACTGAATAAATTACATCATTCTGGAATTACTTCCTTTCACTTCATTTTGTTTGGCTAAAAGCTTTTAACAAACATCCCTGTTCCATACTTTCTCTACATCCTGTTACACAGTCACACTTACACCGCGAAGGGGAAATCAAGAGAACATGAATCGCTCACATGATTTGTAAGACTTAAAATGAACAATGAGTAATGCTCCTTTTATACTCATTCCGCTCCTGTTACAAAGTTGTTGTTGGGTTTTTTTGTGACTGGTATAAGACTGGTGTACTTCCCTGCTATTATGTTCCCTATGATTATCCAATCAGCAATGCTGTATTCAAGACCACTTTTAAATCACAGGCTTTCACTGAGAATCAGATGACCTGTCAGAAACCAGTTATCCACGGATGTGTGAATAAACAGAAAAAAGTGGGATGTTTTGGATCCCCTAAAATCTGCAATGACTAAATGTAGACAACGACACAAACTCTAGGCTAGTGCTTTATCCAGTTAAAGTTATACCGTCTTGCAAAGCACGTGTGTTATGAGCTCAAGTGAGAATACCAATTTCATGCATATTTGCAGGGCCAAATTGCATTCCTTGATTGGGAAAGCATACTTAGGGTATGCATGAAATTTAAAATTATGTTTTACCATGAAATAGGAAAGTCAGACAGAAAGAAGGACGAAACAAGAATGAGGGATGGCAGAATAACTTGAGAGTGCCACTTGAAATCGAGTGGCACGGCTTGCGTTTACATACTGTAGTTTTTAAGTTGAGTAGGGAAAGCGAAAAGCGTGTTCTTCATACCTGGACTGGTGGGGATTTTTTGGGGGGGGCGAAACACGCCACAAAATTCAAACAGAGTAGAGCAGGTGATTTAACGCCGGGGACAAAATGTGTATAAGCGCGTGATTTGTTTTTATTTGTATCTTTCTGAAATATAGCTGTGTGCACAGCCTATGCGCACAAACGTGCAGCCAAACAGACCGGTTATCGCCATGGAGGGCAAACACAGAACTACAACAGTGTTCTTACCGAGTGTGAAGTAGGGAAGAGCCGTGTTGTCAAGATCATCCATTACGGAAATTCGCCCAGGTAGGTCTGTTCTAACGAATAATAGAAGTCTGGATTCCCCCCCTCCTCCTGCTCCTCCTCCTCCAGTTCCTCCTCCAGTTCCTCCTCCACCAACACCACCTGCTTCAGCAGCACCCCCTCCTCCGACCACGTTCCCCGAGGCTCCGCCGGTGAAGCTGAATTCGTTCTCCCGGAGTACGGGCAGGGTTGAAACGGTGACGGTTTTCACCTCACATGGCGTCTCCGTGTCGCTCTCCCTGTCCCTTTCCTCGTCAGGCGATGTCGCCCCTCTGTTTGCCTGGACAGTCAAGGAGCCTGTTAATAACAGACCCACGAGAAGGACGCGAAGGTGCAGCACTAATATCCTCGCCATCCCGCTCCTTGTGTGTGGTTCTCTCGCTTTGTGGGGCTCATAAGCTGTCCGTTCACTTATAGTACAGTCGCTGCAAAGGAGTCGCGTCCGTCCAGGAGGCGGCAGTACAGGTGTAGTGAGAATGACATCTTTCGGCTCCTTACAGATCCATTTGTGCTCACACGGGGACAACAGATTGCTTACACTTGGATAAACACGTGTCTTTTAAAAGACAGACACGAGGTAGAGGTATCTTGTTATTAGTGCAGGTTCGTGTTTAAACAAACACGAGCAGTAGATGAGTCTTCTTCTGAGTTCACAATAAAGTGTTAAACAACAAATAAAAAAAATAATACTTTTTTTCCCAATATAGCTTTATATGAGTTGAACGTGAGGACAGAGCTGCTATCCCGTCTAAACAAACAATTTATAGCTGAACATCTGTCCAGTTTGTTCTCCGTGCAGGCAGTGTAAAGACAGCTCTACTGGTACTCGAAAACAAAGTACAGTTGACCGGAAAGATTACGGTTAAAGCCTAAAGTGCATTCACCACAGAGTGAAATATCCACACTTAAAATAAAAGTTGCATTCCAGATATAAAAAAAGGTACACAGAAAAGGTTTAAAGAGAGGCTATAGACTTTCTTTTATTTACTGATTAAAAGTTTGTTTTTATTATATAATGTAGTACACCCCGTGTTCTTACTTGTTTAATGTTGTTGTTTATTTTTAACTTTATGATTAAAACAACAACTCTTAGGAGTTTCTTCTTTTTCTTTTATGTCTTTTTCTGCATTTGGCTTAGAGATGGACAGAGTCTTTGAGCTCTGTCCGTGGTGCTGACTTGTTCAACCCTGTCCTGCTTGTCAGTGTGATATCACATAGTAATATTGCAAACACTATAAACCTAAATAATGCAACTGAGCAGTTGAAACCTAATTATTTAGAGTTTATTTGACATTTTGTCCTTGAGCATTAAATAATCTCAATTTGAAAAGTTAATTTCATTTAAGAGTACTTAATTTTGCGCCTGTTCAAAGTTCACCTACTCATATTGTGTTTATTTACCTTCATTTTACAATAATAGGGCTCTAAGATCATGAGTGATGTGCCTTTTTGACACACACAGTGTTAGCACATTTAGGAGTGTGAATAGTGATGCTTGCTGTAAGAAAAGGTAAATCTGAATGAGTTAGCATTCCTGGTGCTCATCAGTAGTAGATAATCGTTTATCGTTATTTTTAAGTGAGACAAGAATAATGAATATTGACTGCAGTGTTTTTTGTTTAAAAAACGAAATTACTCATGTTTGCTAAAACTAATGCAATTACAATGATAAATGGCTTTTATGTGCTTAAAAATCAAATGAACAAGAGATTAAGTCATACAACTGAATATTACTGAATTGATTTAAGTAGTATGTATAGCATACTAGCATTCAAAGAAACAGCAAAACCTCTGAAAACATTTCACGTTCACAAACATTTTCCTTCATTTTGAGATCTGTCAGTGCTGCACAGTTTTCCTAAACAAATTACATTACATGAAATAAATGACACTTATTACATGAAATAAATGACATTTTGCAATGCACAGGTAATTATAGATAACTTGTTACTTTTTACACCTGTTCAACTCCTCACTCATGTAGATATCTAATCAACCACTCACTTTATGTTACGATAACCTTGCTAAAGTTCAAACCAGGCATCAAGATGGGGAAGGAAGATGATTTAATTGATTTTGATGTCTGCTGTTGGTGACAGACAGGCTGGTTTTAGCATTTCAGAAACTGTTCTTCTGGGATTTCCCCACACAACCATCTCTCAGGTTTACAACAAATGGTCCAAAAAAGAGAAAACATCCAGTGAGCAGCAGTTCTCTGGGTGAAGATGCCTTGTAGATGACAGAAGTCAGGGGGAAATGACTTGAGCTGACAAGAAGGCAACAGTAACTCAAATAATCACTTAAAGGGAAGACTGGAAAACTGTTGCCTAGTTTCACACGTCTTGATTTCTGCTGCAACATTCGAATGGCAGGGTCAGAATTCTGGCATAAAGAACATAAAAGCATGGATCCATCCTGCCTTGTATCAGAGGTTCAAGCTGCACATGGTGGTATAATAGTGTGGAAGATATTTTCTTGGAACATTTTGGGCCACTTAGTACAAACTGAGCATCACTGAAAAAAGTATTGAGTATTGTTGCTGACCATGTCTGTTCCTTTCTGGCCACAGTGTACCCATCTTCTGATAGCTGCTTCCAGCAGGATGCTGCAGCACGTCAAAAAGCTCAAATGATCTCAGACTGGTTTCTTGAACATGAGAGAATCACTGTATTCAAATGGTCTGCCCAGTCTCCAGACATCAATCCGATGGAGCACCACTAAGATGCGATAAAATGGGATGTCAGTGTCATAACTATGGAGCAAAAAAATCTGTAGCAACTGTGCAATGCTATTATATCATTATGGACCAAAGATTTTCTAACCACCTGTGTAATGCTTCATGTTAGTTTTCCAAACTCTTCCTGAGGTTTCCTCAACACTGTGAAAAATATGATTTCTTTTTTCATTTATCTTTCAGCTTTAAGCTACAACTCCAACAACTCTTTCATTTGTTTTTTGTAGAGCATTGTGGGGATCAGCATGGCATGCATGGTCTTTAAGAAGCTGCTGCTTTTGTCATTATGTAGTGTCACTTTTCTCACTTTTCTGGTGTTACAGTAATGTGGAGAAAGCATCCAGTGACACCTTTTGCTTTGTTTCTCTCCATGGACCAAACATAGAGCACAAAACACAGTCTTTTTGTTTTCTTTCTTTATCTATAATTTTCAGTCACAATGTCTGCTTCAGTACCAACATTTGCACGCATGTCTGCACATGTGCGTATTCACACAATAGCTGGTAAGAAGGGCCATGTTTGCAACTTCTTTTACAGACCACTCGTGACTGCAGACACTTTGTGAGACACATGCATATTGTGTCATTTTCATGTATGCCACTAACTGTGACACTCAAGCACCAGTTACCTTAATGTGTTTCCTCTCTCCTCCTGACTGAACACAGCTTAACCCTAGTCAAACTGAGCAGAAGTGGTTGCAAATTAACATATGTTTTTCAAAGGAGCTATCCTTGTGTGTATTGTTTCAACTGCATACAGCAGAAGGACAGCTGCAAGTTTTCTTGTGCCGCGTCAAGTGTCCAGAACACAAGGACAATTCCAAGTGTGCTCTACTGGGTAACTTTGAAATGTCACCTGTGCTCATTTTTAGCAATTCAGTTCAATTCAGTTTTATTTATATAGTGCCAAATCACAACAACAGTCGCCTCAAAATGCTTGTTTTGTACGGTAAAGACTCCACAGGAAGACAGGGAAAACCCCAACATTCAAACAACCCACTATGAACAAGGACATAGTTCACTTTGTATGCATAGTAAGTCTATGAGTATGGCACATTCACTCCAAGCAAACCAGTAGAAAATCTAGCAACCAATTTATTTATATAATTTAATTCAATTTAATGTAGACTTGTCCCATACATGAAGCAGTAGTCAGAGTTGTTGACTTTATAGTGTATCCCATAATTGTGTATCCAGTATCTCCTGCACCATTATTATTTAAACATATTACAGATGCAAATACCAGTAAGCTGAAATCAAAACATTTCTTAGCATATCCTCATTAGAGACACTGGTATAGACAGAAGTTACACTTCTAAACTAATATCACACAATTGTAATCATTTATGTTCTTATTAAATGTACCTATTAAATAGCCACAGTGCTGGTGGAAAAGTCTGTGAACTGCTGGTTTGGTAAATGGTAAGCCCTTGCAGCAACTTAAAACAATGTACAATGTTCAAGAGAAATGTGGTCAGCTTCTTTCTTACAGTGTGACTTTAGCTTGGCCACATGAATGACCTAAAGGTCAACCCAGGTTGTGTTAGTGTCTGGGCTTTTTAAAGTCATTCTTATTTACTATAGTGATTAATGTCCTCGTCATGCTGCAACAAACAAATAATACAGAGGTTCAGCTGGGGGGCAGACAGTCTGACATCATCCTGTATGATGTCTTGATAAACTTGTGATTTAATTTTACCCTAGATGACGGCAAACTGTCCATGCCCAGAGGCAAGCAGCTCTAAATGGGTGATGTTTTCAAGCTGCTGTCCAGCATTCAGCCTCAGTTTCATCAGTCCATTAAAACAGTTTCCCTTTAGTGTAGAGTCTGTGTCCTGGCACTGACATGCTACAACACTACTGGGACTGTATTGTTTTTTATTCAGTAACGTATAGTTGGTGCTACCTACCTATCTATCTATCTATCTATCTATCTATCTATCTATCTATCTATCTATCTATATCTATCTATCTATCTATCTATCTATCTATCTATCTATCTATCTATCTATCTATCTATCTATCTATCTATCTATCTATCTATCTATCTATCTGGGGCTCACATGCTTTTTCCAACTTCAATTGGGAATATCTGAATGATATATTTATTAAGCACAAAATAGCTGTAACTTATATGACCAAAAGTCTTAATGCATAAACATTTAAAATTAAATCATATTAGCAAGGGCTTGCAGTGTATGACTTTTAGCAATAATGAATAACAACACTTAATGCTGCCCGGTGTCTCCCAAAGCTGTAGAAATGCAATACAAAACTAAAAACTCCTACTTATCCAGCCAGTTTTAAATGTAATGTTGACCCCTGTGTCTTCTGTTCTGGCAATGCTGGAACAATTACACAGATTACACAGATTATTCATGCATAAACACCACAAAACCTCTTCACAACCAAAAATTGGATTATTACTTGTTTAAACCTGTTTAACTCTTTCAGCTGATCCTGCAATGTGTTGACCTTAGTAACTAAGTAATGCCTGGTTCATTCTTCCACTGTTTATTTTATTAATCTGTATTTATTATTATTTAGTCAGTTTGTTTGAGAATTATGCTCATTGTGAGGAACAATACTCAGTACTTCTGCTAAGATTTGGAAGCAAATCTAAAATGAACTGTGCAACAGTGGTGTTGCAGTTTATTATGTGGGCAGGAGGTGACATACATGTCTAAGTCAACAAAACAGAAAAAATAACAGACAACTTCGACACTGTCAAAACTATACAGCTGTTAACTTTGCTCATAAACCTTGAGAGGCATGGACATACTTTCTCAGTTCTACTGTTTTCTTATCTTTCCCTCACATCTCTTGCTCTCAATTT